TGCAAATTTCATCTAAGCTGCGTTTTTATTCCGAAAAAGAGCCTAGCTGTATATCAAGATTTGGCAAGGTGACATTAGATGACTAGCATTAGAAGTGAGCATATCTCAATCGCACTTTTCCTTCCAGTGGTGCTGTCTGATCCTGAGACGATTCAGATTGCGGATTATTCTTGGATCCTCGACGTCGATAAGATCCGCGTTTCCGTCGTCTTGAATATGACGATTGGATCGGTTTATAGGGCAGCGGAGAATTTAGAGAGTGCTCAAATAAGGTATGAATTCTGATTGAGATCATCATTTGATCAATATCAAGAAATTTTAGTGCGAAGCATTTGATGATTCGATTGGAATTTTGAAATAATTTGGATGCAACAAATTCACTGAGGCCGTAGTCAAAACTTCTACGAGAATATTGTATATTTTTTGCCTGAAGATCATGCATTCTGTCATATAGTTCAACTTGTATTGGCAACCATGCGTCTGGTTCAATTGTTGTAGGTCTGGAGGGCATAAAGGAGAACAAAATTGCATATTTGGTGTAGGGAGTCATTTAATGAGTTGTTCGTTAATTAAGATCTGCCGTCTCGTAAATTTTTGCAATTTCAGATTCAACGAATTGATTGAATCATTTCCATATCAGTACATCTGCTGTCGGATTGGAAGCCATTTTTAAGAAACTCAAGAAGCTATAAGTAAATCTGACCCCACGATGGCCGGGCATTTCACATAGCACTTCGTCGGAATGATCTGAAAGAGTAGTATAGTTGTTCTATAAGGAAAGCTGGAACTTGACTACGAGTCTTGCAATGAAGGAAACATTCACTGGGATGCAAAATTGTCGAAATAGAAGCGAACAAATTCAAAGAAATTGATGTAATATAAGCAGATGATTGGATAGCAAGCGGAATAGACGGTGACCGATAAATGGAAAGTGTTGAGAGGATGATTGCGTTGTCCTCGACGATGACTCCGAAAACTTTTCGTTCGGTTCTGGCTGTCCGACGATTATTGAATGCGGTAATGCGTTCGTTTGGTTGAGCTAAAATCAACATGCTGTATCGATCATTCCAGCTGCGAAAATATGGGGATCTGAACAAACGAACTCCAGTTTGAATAATACGGTGAATTTAGTTTTTCCGGAAGATTTATTGGAGATGACTGGCTTAGAATTTTTTGAGTAAGACTGGAAGGAGATAGAGATAATCATTTTGTTCGGTTCTCGGAAATGAATTTTGAGTTACCTGTGGATTAAAGTAATATGACCGGGCTGATAGTTGACTGCTTAAGGCGGCAGTTGTTCTTGAAGAATCGCCTCGAACTGAATCAGTTTCTGAAAAAAAATCATTCAAGAGCAGTACGATCATTTGATTGTCATAGCGTGAACCAACGGAATAGCTCGTTGAAATGATTTTATTTTGAGTTACCTGTGGATCGAAGGAAATCAACTAAACGAAGTTCGATTATCTGAAGGCCGGATTATAGTTGATTAGAGTAACATTATTTAGAACGTTAGCGTGAAATGTTTTGATATGAAGCTATGCAGGTGGATGGGTTTCAAGGAATATTATTTTGCAAAGTCCACGAGTATACCAAAAAAGTTAATGACATACTAAATGGTGTTTTACGCTTGAACCATTCCTTCAGCTTGTCCACCATTGACGGTGAAATGACAGTCAGCTGTAATTGATAACGGTTTTACCGAGAAGATAAGATGCCTTGCAATCAAATCTTAAACATAATGTTGAGGACAAAAAAAGCAGCTGGCTCCAAGAGATAAGAGAATCGACTTAAGGAAAGATTCTCCAAAATGCCATTCAAAAAGTGCTTTCAACAGTTTCAAACAAAGAACGA